AGATAGATATAACATCAAATCCTCTATTAACCAGTGCACTTGATCAGCTTTTTGTGTTTATGTATAAGGTATTTCCAATGTCAAGAGCAGAGAAAGTCTAGTCATGAGTGCATCTGATATTAACCAGCCTGATCCATTTGGAGCTGTACCATTTAGAATGTCAGGTGAGCTCTAGACTGAACTGATAAATTATTAACTTGTTAAACCTTTGATGATGAAAGTGGCAAGTTTCTTAGTGATTGAGAAAAATCAATTGCCAGAATTATTCTTAATTCAGAAATTAAATAATACAGATGTCATATTAGTGAAACTTAGGAATAAGAGAGTTTATAACATAGATCTCAAATTGATGAAGCTTGCGGAATAAGAGAAATTAAAATATAGATGTCAGATTGAAAATAAGCTTTTCATGCTAAATCTACTTTTAAAGAAAATCTCTAAAAGTAAGGTTTTTAGGTAGAAATGCATGTATGAAAAAAAGTGTAGAGTATATAGAAATAGATAGACATCCAAACAGATAGATCACGTTTCTGGGCATTTAAAGTAAAATGTTTGGAATCTGTAAAACCCTCTTAAAATCTGGTATACATTGAGTTCTTTACTGAAGCCTTCACCACACAACTATAAACATAGAGATATGTTTATTGTTTTTACTTTACTAGGCTACAGTTTTTAGAAATTGTTCCATTTTTTGCTGCTTTCCTCAAACACACTAAAAGAATCAAATAACAGAGGCAAAAACTTGGCAGTTATACATACTTTAATGTTAAGGAAGTTTTCCTTAGTATCAGGAAAGCTCAGGTTTTTCCCTCCTTAATGGTTATTCATTATGATTATTAAATAATTCATATATTCATAGACACATCAAATGTTATTACTAATAAAGAAAATTACCATTAGAAATTCCAATTTCAGGATTTTTCAGCTATTTTATAAATAAATATTTATAAATTAATTTTATTTCTGCATCTTTCTTATAGATTTTAATCTATTGACTAACTGAAATATCCAAAACCAATCAGCGAATAATTAATTATTTTATCTCAAGACTTTTCAACATCATATAATTGTACTGAATTTAGAATAAATTTATTATTTGGTCACTTCAGTAAAAGAATAAAGTTTTTGTTTTGAAACCTACCAAACCCATTTCATGAGAAAGCCTATTATGATCGTAAAACTTGGATTCAAATTATCTGTAAAACGTTTTTATTCAGTTTGACTAATATACAAATAACCTTTCTAAAGCAAGATAGATGATGTTTGGTAAAGACTGAAATTTGTAGAAGAAATGTGAAAATGAAAAGTGAGTTATTTTAAGAAGTGATAACTTATTTTCAGCTGCTGTGCCACATAATTTGAGATTGATTATTCAAAGTATGTAAACCTGCATGTACATTCTGGAATTTATTGGGAATCTAAAAATATATAGTGATCAGACTGAATGACTAGCTTCAGTGAGTAATAGTAATTCTTGTTTGTATGTGGAATGTCCTATAGTAAGTAATAGTAATTCTTGTTTGTATGTGGAATGTCCTATAGTAAGTAATGGTAATTCTTGTTTGTATACAGAATGCCCTATAGTAAGTAATAGTAATTCTTGTTTGTACACAGAATGCCCTATAGTAAGTAATTAGTAATTCTTGTTTGTACACAGAATGCCCTATAGTAAGTAATAGTAATTCTTGTTTGTACACAGAATGCCCTATAGTAAGTAATAGTAATTCTTGTTTGTACGTGGAATATCCTATAGTAAGTAATAGTAATTCTTGTTTGTACACAGAATGCCTTATAGTAAGTAATAATAATTCTTGTTTGTATGTGGAATGTCCTATAGTAAGTAATGGTAATTCTTGTTTGTATGTGGAATGTCCTATAGTAAGTAATGGTAATTCTTGTTTGTATCTGGAATGCCCTATAGTAAGTAATAGTAATTCTTGTTTGTATGTGGAATATCCTATAGTAAGTAATGGTAATTCTTATTTGTATGTGGAATGCCCAATAGTAAATAATGGTAATTCTTGTTTGTATCTGGAATTCCCTATAGTAAGTAATAGTAATTCTTGTTTGTATCTGGAATGCCCTATCATAATTGGTGTTTGTTTTTAGTTAAATTCATGAGTGAATAAATATATATATAAAAATGTAAAATAAAGGAGATTTGGAATGTTTATTTTATTATATATATTGTTAGAAACTTTTATGCTAAGTATTGCTTTGTTTTTTATATTTTACATGGAAAAAAGTTAACAGGTGCATAGAAGGTCAAAAAAATATAATGTTAATGTAGTGTGGCTCAGGTGATAACCTTATCATGTTATAAGCACTGTCTAAGGTATGTCAGAAAGTACTATTTACAGGCGTGACTATTATTTTGTTCATCATTACAAGCAGCTCCAGAAGTATCTTCACGTTCTGTTTCAGTGAATACATTGTATGTTTTGCAAGGAATAAAATAATATAATTTGTGTTAATATAAGTACTTCTAAGATTGGTTATTATAAGCCAATCTGCAGTAACAGTATTCATATTGTGTGTTCTTAGACAGTGTCATTTCAATTCAAATCTTTCATTCAGTTGAAAACTTTGTTCTTGTTGAATATTATTTACTTAAACTTTTTGTTACTTTGGGTTTTCCCCTTGTTTGAGTATGATTGTCAGTAATCTTATCAACTACAATTTTTGGAATGCCTAACCACTGGCTCAACATTTGACTGAAGAACCAATTGTAATTATTAAGGTAATGGTCAGTGACTAATATCTGAAATGGAAAGAGATGAAATACAAGATTTTAGCTTGTTACATGTACATCAGTCATTCCATTTAAAGATTGAAAATTATTCCATATTATTAGAAACTAATCATGTATGTGCCAACGTGTCAAGGTTAATCTGTTGAAGTAGGGCAATTCAAATCAAATTCATACAATAAAGCAGTGAAGTTTGTTTTTTTTGTTATTATGTTTAAAGTTCAGCTAGAAATTTATTCATGACATTTGTCTGGAGAATGTTTCAAATGTCTTGATTCTGACAAGTTGCTTGTGAAATAGCTGGGAGAGTAGTGTGTAATAGTAGATGCATGGCTTTTTAACACCTAGGTTGAAGGCCTTTATTATAGTTTCCATAGAGTAAGTTACACATGTGCAAGTGCATATTTAAAAAGCATTTTTAATATTCAAGCATTACTTTACCTCACATTGGCTCATCTATATTCCATTAGGTTCTAGACAGTTAGCAAAGAAAATGCCTCAACTACTGGCAGAACGTGCGTGTACTGCTGCTGATGGAGGTATATATAGTTTTATATACACATCTTTGATTTTTATGTTATCCATCATGTAAGACAGTTGTAAATGATGTGAGAATCAAGTTTTGTGATATTGTGTGGAATTTATTTTTAAACGTACATTATAGTTCCTTATCTTTAAAAATAAAAGTTTCATTTTTTAACATAAATTAGGTTTTTATGCTGATAATAAGGATCCAAGTAATGAATTAACTGAATTATTAAAAGAGGAAATGTCCTTTTTTTCTACTAGTCTTTGACTTTTATGAACTGAAATTGATTTGTTTTAAATAAAAAGGATCTGTCTCCTCTTCCATGGATGTATTGGCTTCAACATGTGCTTTGATGTGGTTATGTAATGTTTGTTGTGTTTCTCTAGGGTTTTAATTAATAGGTAGAAAATCTAGTTGTATTATGACAAGTCTAATAATAATTTGAATCTGTTATTGATGAAAGTATTATATGTACCAGTTTTACTAGTTTCTCAGAAGAGTTGAGAGTTGGGGAGTTTTCAGAAAAACTTGGATAAGTAGTCAGATGGAGAGCAAAGGCTGTATAAAGTCTATTTCCATAAAATGTTTTGCTTATCCAATGAACAGGACAAAGATTGGCTTTCTGAAAAATTAGAAAAATTATTTAATTTGGGGTAATGGATCCCACTTATTGTATCAGACATTTAAACTTTTTTTAATTATTTTTTAATCATTTAAAGGTTGTTATATCAATTTTGAAAAAAAACATTCAAAAAGTGCAGTTACTATTTGTACAAATAGCTTTATGTGTATATATATAAAAAATTTATATAATTCTCAATGAAATTATGTCCAACAATCGAGAAATGCCCATTGTTCCAAAAGTAATATTTCAACGTTTCAGATAGAAAGTAGTCAGTTTTTTTTGTTAAAGAGACATATGCGTGTTTATATGTTTGTATGTATATATATATATATATAT